ATTTTTGTCCGTTGGGAAGATAGGTGAGTAATGCAATAATTGTTGACTCAACTTCGTCAAATTCACTAAAAATTGCTTCCAAACTGGAGCTTAATTGCTTATAAGATCCAATCCCATTTAGTCAAGCAAATGTAAGAGAATGTATATATATAGCTTCAGAAGTACTTGTATTTCATAATAGTATTCATTAAAATGATTTTTTTTTCTTTCTAAACTTCAATAACATGTTTGGTACACAAAATTGCTCAAGACTATAGTACCTATAAGAAATACAAGTCGATAATTCTTACTAGAAATGTCATCAATGAATACAAGAAATTATTTTTTTTTTTTTATAGAGAATACTATATATGGCAAAGCTTTACTAGATTATAAATTTTGGATTTTACGAAATGTGGAGAGATAGAAGCTGTCTGTTCTTGATTCTTTCTTCCAAAAAAGTGATTTTTTGACCGTTCATGGGTCCCACGGTAGAAAGAGTTGGTCGAGCTTTTCGACTGCAGCGGTTACATAATCAATTTTAAGCAAGAACAGACGGCCCATAATAAGTAGGTAAAATTAGGGGTAAGCACTATTCGATTTTGTACGATTTTTAAACTATTTTCGAATCAAAACTTTTCAGTTTGAAACGGTTTAGAAAAAAAGATTGAAATATAAGCAAACCAAACCAAACATTTTTTTTTTCGTGATTTGGTTTGATTTCAATATAATTTTAACGAAATAAAAATAACATATTTCATGCAATTGAAAATAATTATAATTTGGTCTAAAATCTCAATATAACATCAATTAGAATATTAACTTTGATATAGATAAGAAAAATATTATCATAAATCATTATTTTCCTAAAGAGTCAATACAAGCCGACTAGTTTGTTGAAAATTAAATTGAACTAATACATCTTATATCTTAGACTAAATAAGTAATTTTTTTTTTCTTTTTGGTAAATTGGATGAACGATTCAATTTGATTTCAAACATTTTTTAACCACTAAAATTTAAATTGAATTGTTTCTAAATGATTTTGTCTGGTTTGAATCGAAATATTGACAAGTCTATTTGTAACTAAACTAATAATTCAAAACTGTGATTTCGATTCAGTTTAATAGGTTGACGATTTTTTTGTTCACTCCT